AAAATTAAAAATATTTAATGACAAAAAGGAAAAAATAATAGTATATTTTAATTATTTTAATTAATTAATTAAATCATATAAATAATTTCAAATAACTAAAATTATAACTAAATTAAAATTTAAATTTAAATTAAGTATAAAAATTTTATTTAATATTATTTTAAATAACTAAAAATTTAGTGCCATTCGGAAAATCTAAACCGCATGCCCAGCCCTACCAACCACCCGTTTGGAGCCACTCTCGTTTTCCTTGGGCGCTTGCGCCGTGTCAACTTCGGCACATGAAATTCACCTTGATTGATCAGAAGTGTCAGTCCACTGCAGTGGTTGTTAACGCCACCAAATTCAAAAGTCAATATTGTAATTAATTGCCAAATGAGATATAAGGGGAACCATTTATTTATATATAAATTTAATATATTATATTTAAATAAGATTTTAATTATTTATTACATTTTTTTATTTTTTAATAATTAAAATCTATTAGCACCTGGTCTTTGCGGCCTAATGGCAATAGCTACCCGGTGCATTCCCCCTTTTCCGGGTTGGGTTCGAAACCCGCTCCTTGCAAATATGTTAAAAAAAAAAAAAATCTATTGATATTTATTTAAAATTATTATTATTTAAAAAATTATAATGATTTTAATTATTAAAAATAAAAAATAATTAATTAATATTTTATATAAATATAATGTACAAAATTTATATATGAATAGGTTTCTTTTTATTTGTTGATCGAAAATAAACTTTCAAATTCGTGATAGCTTTGTTAGCTTAATCACAGTGTAATTCTATGTATGAATTACATGCTACAAACTATTACATACTACTAATTTTCAAAATTATAATAAGTACAATTCAATTATCAAAATTATGGTAAGAAATCAGAAAAAATTAGACATAAAACTGCATAAGACGTACGGGCTCATGCTCAAATTGTGGCATGTCACTCTTTGTACTACACCATAAACTTCGATGGCAACCTTAGGCTTGTTTTTTTTTGTGTTTCTCGAAGTGTTAGGACAAATTTCATTTCAAAACCATCTTACTCTTATTAGGTATGTTTTTTTATTTGTTTTTAACATAAAGAATTATAAGAAATGAGAACTTTTTTCAAGTTCGTTAATGAAAATAAAACTTTCAATTAACTAAATTCAAACATTAAAATTCGATAAAGAATCATTGGATTCAAAAACTTAATTCTTTATCAGGTATGTTTTTTAATTAAAAATGTAATAAATATATCTTTTATAATTAATTTATATAAAAATATAAATTTTAATTTTAATAAAATTAATTAATCAATTAAAATTATTCACATATTAAGTAAATATTAATTTTTATAAGTTTTTATTTAAATTCATTATAAAATATATATATTTATTATGCTTTAAATATATATATCTTTTATATTAAAGAAGTTAACTACTTTAGCAGTAGAGATTTCAACAGACCCATAAAATTACCAACTCCACCCAAGAAGTTTTGATCTTGTTTTAAAATTAATAATATTTTTAAATTTATAGATATTAACTCCTATCCTTTGTTGTTGGACACGTAAAGCAAACCCATAAAATTACAATCTGAATTGAAAACGTGAAAAAGAAGAAAACTAACAATCTGAACTGAAAGTCTGAAACTATATTATTGACAAATAAAAAAAACAAAATAAATAAAAAAAAAATCAGTTTGTACGTGCCTAGTGGGGCGTCTCGGTTCACTGAGTTGTTGGAGGAAGACATGCACACACATCACACGTGTCACCTTCCACACCCAACTTCACCGATAAAATCTCCCCATATGTCGTTCCGCTTCATCCTCTCGTTCGTCCCCTCTTCTTGTATTCAACAATCCAAAGGCTCGTTTCATTGCGTAGTGTCCAAGATGGATATCCGCCGCCGACCTCCCCCTCCCACCTCCCCCGACCATGCTCGACCCCAACATCATCTGCACAAGAACCAATCCTCCGCCGTCGTCGATCATACGTTACCCTCCCCCACTCCCAAGGCATCCGACGCCCTTCCGCTTCCTCTCTACCTCACCAACGCGGTTTTCTTTACCCTCTTCTTCTCCGTTGCTTACTATCTGCTTCACCGGTGGCGTGACAAGATCCGGAACTCTACGCCCCTCCACGTCGTTACGCTTTCCGAAATTATCGCCCTTGTCTCACTGATCGCCTCCTTCATCTACCTTCTCGGCTTTTTCGGCATTGGCTTCGTCCAGTGCTTCATCTCACGCGCCTCTCACGACACTTGGGACCTTGAAGATGATGTCATGGAGCCTCCTCAACAGAGCTTCCGCGACCACCGCCTCGTCACCTGCCCTCCTCCCAAATTGATCCAGCCTGACCCGCTTGTTTCCACGGGGGACGAAGAAATAGTCGAATCTGTTAGAAGCGGTGCGATTCCGTCTTACTCACTCGAATCGAAACTGGGGGACTGCAAGAGAGCGGCTGGAATTCGAAGAGAGGCGTTACAGAGGATGACAGGGAGGTCACTGCAGGGGCTGCCTCTTGAGGGATTCGACTACGACTCTATATTGGGGCAGTGCTGCGAAATGCCGGTGGGGTACGTCCAGATTCCAGTCGGGATTGCCGGACCGTTGCTTCTGGATGGTTTTGAGTACTCTGTCCCCATGGCAACCACGGAGGGTTGTTTGGTTGCCAGCACCAACAGAGGATGCAAGGCCATCTATGCATCGGGTGGGGCAACGAGCACGGTCTTCAGGGATGGGATGACAAGAGCACCTGTTGTGAGATTCGCGTCGGCCAAGAGAGCGTCGGAGTTGAAATTCTTCTTGGAGAATCGTGCGAATTTTGATACCCTGGCTGTCGTTTTTAACAGGTAAATTCTGAAATTAAGCTTAAGTCTTGCCGTTGTTTTTGGACGTCGTTTTTATATCAGATCATTTGTTTGTATTCGTATTTAATAGTGTGGGTGTGTTTGGGTTGAGACTCTCTCTAGTGACCACTGACGTTCAATTGAGTACTTTTAGTTACTGCTTCTAGTGTTCTAATTTATACTAATATACTCCCACCTGTTACCAGATCAAGTAGATTTGCCAGGCTAAAATGCATTCAATGCTCGATTGCGGGAAAGAATTTGTACATAAGATTTACCTGTAGTACAGGCGATGCAATGGGGATGAATATGGTGTCAAAAGGGGTTCAGAATGTCCTCGAATTCCTCCGGGATGATTTTCCTGACATGGATGTAATCGGCATCTCAGGTATGTTGCTTGCTTATTTCCATTTCCTTTTATAAATTTGTGAAGCTGGCTTCAATTTTCTCTTTAGAATTTTCACTTGTTTGTTCCTGTTCTGAATAATATTTGGATTTGAAATATGGCACAACCGCACAAGTGAATCATGATTCACTTGTATCGGAATCACTTGTACCATATTTGATTTGTTTATTTATTATTATTATTTTTTTAAAAAAAGGCACTTCTATTTCTATCACTTATAATGCCTACTAACATCATCTTCTTGTGGACCAAGCGGTCCATTTGCCATCAACGGTTTAAACTAGTTATGTAAGTTCTTTAATTATATGAGGGAATATTGTGAACATTCATGTCAATAAAGTTATGATTAAAAAAAAAAAAAACCCTACTTTTAAAGACATTCTTTGCAGTTAAATGTCAATGCTTACTTTTAGTTTAGCTGTGCTTATATATGTGTTTATTTTGATTGGCAAGCTGCTTATATATATATATTGTCCTGTTTTCAGGCAACTTCTGTTCCGACAAGAAACCTGCTGCAGTAAACTGGATTGAAGGGCGAGGGAAATCAGTGGTCTGTGAGGCAATAATTAAGGAAGATGTGGTGCAAAAGGTTTTGAAAACCAGTGTTGCTGCACTTGTTGAGCTCAACATGCTCAAGAATCTTGTAGGTTCAGCTGTTGCTGGTGCTCTTGGTGGATTTAATGCCCATGCCGGAAACATTGTCTCTGCAATCTTTATTGCAACTGGCCAGGACCCAGCACAAAATGTTGAGAGTTCCCACTGTATTACCATGATGGAAGCTGTCAACAATGGCAAGGATCTTCACATCTCGGTCTCTATGCCTTCCATTGAGGTGCGACTTGACTCTCATTTCAGTCATGGTGGATTGCAAAAGTTAATTATTGCGTGTCTAATTATGATTTTTGTTCCTATCAGGTAGGCACAGTCGGGGGTGGGACTCAACTTGCTTCTCAATCTGCTTGTTTGAATCTTCTTGGGGTAAAGGGTGCGAGCAAAGACTTACCTGGATCTAACTCAAGGCTCTTGGCCACCATTGTGGCTGGTTCAGTACTGGCAGGGGAACTTTCCTTGATGTCTGCCATCGCAGCGGGTCAGCTCGTCAAGAGTCACATGAAATACAACAGATCTAGCAAAGATGTATCCAAGGCTACATCATAAAATTATGAGTGCTGGCCCATCCATTTAACTAAATTAGAAATAAGAATTAAGATCGAAGAGGTCAAGAGGAAAGCTAGACACAAGGTGGGGTCCAGAAAGTGAAAATGTCCAGGCTGCGTCTCCCACGTGAATTGCTTGGCTAACTTAGCTGTCAAGGTTTCCTGATAGAAGACGCAGGTTAAGAGAAGCGTGACCTTATATTTTATGGATTGTCGGTGCATCTTCAAAGTGTATGGCCACCCAAGTCTTTGGCTTATATATGTATCTTGTCCTTTTCCTCTCTCAATTTGTTTTTAGCTTCTGTTATCTGTTTGTGGGTTGGGACCCAGGCATTGGTTGTTGTTTTCATCTTGTGCATGTTTAACAATGCAATGGCTAAAGCTCTAAATTGTGGAATTTTAAGTAGAATTTCTAAAGAAATTACTACATCTTGTTGACTAGTCCTCCATCTCGATATGTAATAATATCTCGGCAATTACCTACAC